TTTCCCAGCTCTCTACTGAAAAACACCGCTTAGGAGATCTTAAGTGTTTTGTTTTGTTTTGTTTCCTGAAAATGCACAGGAAAAACCAAGAGAACTCTCAGGCAGGCGGACCATAAGGCAGTTTCCATTAGTAGCTGAATGGCGATTTCCTTGCAAAGTGTATTGCTGAAGGAAGTTTTCGTTCCCGTGCATACAAAGCCTGTCCTCTCCCAGGGCTCTGGCTGCTTCTGAACATGGGGAAAGCAGCTGATTGCCCGGGTAGGAAGGAATATTGTATGTTTTGCTGGGGGAAATTGGTATTCGCGTTGATGACACCTGGTGTGGATGAATGCAATAAATGTCTTAACGTGCTTTCTGTGGTGGAGGCAGTTTCCTGCTCCCTCAACTACACTTTCCCTCCTCGAGAATGCAAGCCTTACTCTCTTCCGTTTAGAACGAAGAGAAAAGTCGTTGATGGGTAAACTTGATATTTTTGTCTCAGAGCCAATCGAGTTTCTTTTGCACTTAGCGAACCGAAGGGAATCTGAGAATGACTTAGTCTTCCGAGAGCGATTTCCCTACCCCCTTCCCCTCCGGTTGAAAATCAGAGGCACATTTATGGAAGCGTTTATGAATGTCTAAGACCATGGTGAAGAATCCTGTAAAAAGGTTACAAGTTCTGTGGTTTCATTTTCCCTTTATAATCATCCCTCTCCGCTAGTTCTCTTTCTATTCACATTCTATGATGTAACGAACAGCCATTCTAAATTTAGGATTGTTTGTTTTTGTACCTCCCAGTAATAGATTTTTAATTGGTTTACTAGGAATTATAAATCAAAGGATACTGGATGGCTATGCTTTTTAAGTTCCCTTTTAAGTATTTAGGAAAATTGTGTTTCATTCCTCAACAATCTGGCAATTGATTACTTTTAACCTCGGTTTTTTTTTTTTTGCTTTTTTTTTGGGGGGGTCACACCTGGCGATGCACAGGGGTTACTCCTGGCTCTGCACTCAGGAGTTACTCCTGGCGGTGTTCAGGGGACCATATGGGATGCTGGGAATTGAACCCCGGGTGGGCCGCGTGCAAGGCAAACGCCCTACCCGCTGTGCTATCTCGCCAGCCCCTTAACCTCGGTTTTTAAGGAACAATCCTTTTAAGATTGTTTAAGGAAGTTTGAACTTCACTTATTTATCTCTTTCCATTCACAGACCACAGGCAGATACAAATATTCCAAGTTCCATTTAAGTCGTATAATCCAGTTAGTGAAATATTTCACTCTTCTGTAAATTGAAAAGAAATTCCTAAGCAGTGATACAATATTGGGCCATAATGATTGTAAAATAAAGACCGTCTCCAGACTCATTCTTTTTTGACATCTGACTTCACTACCATATGTGCAGCAAAACTGTGATATCTGAAGGCCAAATAACCAGAGCTCCTTTAGCCACAGAAAGAACTTGAATTGGGATCTATTTTTAAAGACAATTCCATTCTATTACCAAGTAGTTTTCCAGTTTACAACTTGCCATCGGGAGATCTTTGTAAGTGCTTCTTTCTTTCTGACTTCTTTTGCAGTCTCTGTGACCATTTTAATGTGCATTAGTAAAACACTAACATTTTACAGACATATTGTATATTAATGCATGCATTTCACTGCATAGTTTGACACTTCCCTTGTAAAGCTTTTATGGAAGAAAACACAGACCACAGCAGCATAGCAAAAGAGGCTTAATCTTTATAAATTGGGGCCTTTTACTGTCTCTTTGCTAGCCTCTGGTGGCTGTCTACAAATTTGGGTGGGAGGGGCTGGCAACACCTCTTAACATTTAAGGTTTTCTACGTGGGTGAACTCTAGCCAACTCAAGACAAATTGCTTTATTTAATAAAAAAAATAAATTTTATCATTTTATAAAAAAATTAAATCATGACACGTTTAATTGAAATGGCTGTATTGTAATTAATATTTTGAGATAATCGTGATTTTGAGCTTAAATTACAAAATTGTCATTTTGTATGTGTTAAAACAATAACTGTATCACAATTAAAGTACTTTTGAGTTGAACGACATATTAATGTAAATAAAAGCTGAATGAAGACCTATTTACTACTTTATTAACATAGATCGTGAATGTACTTAACGGTTTTTTTGCAGTATGAGACCATAACGACCTTGAAAGCTGCTTCATTTTCTGTGTAAAGAAGTACTCTGAATCTCTATTTCACACTTACTGAATCAGTGACACTAATGACTGTCGGTTACTTTGCAAATGCAAGCTGTACTTCTCTCCGGTTTTATTTTCGGTATTGACGCTAAGCAGTAAAGGTGTATAATGTGATTAGAATGCATTTTGAAGATGCTTTCTGTACAGATACAAAATACAGGGACTCAACTAATGCTGTGCAGTGTATAGCAGAGCCATTTTTCGGCTTTGGTGTACTCAACTTTTTCAGTATTTAAAAAAAAGTGTTTTGAATAACCTAAAAGTCTCTTTATTGTATAAATAATAAACTGTCACCTTATTGTATCGTTGTCTTCTGTTTGACTCCCCAAGAAGTCGTTCTCAGGGAACAACAAAATTTGGGGGTCACAACTGGTAGTGCTCAGGGTTTACCCTGGCTCTGCACTCGCAGATCAATCCTGGAGGAGCTGAGGGACCAGAGGGTGGCAGGAATCGAACCTGGGTGGGTCGTGTGCACAAGAAGTGCCTGCCCCACTGGACTGGCTCTCCAGCCTTCATGCTTCTGAACTTGTTTCCCAGCATCCCATCCTTACTTCCTTCTTGTGGACCCCTAGTTTATCGACTGAATTTTCACCTGTGACTCCTTGGTGGTCCCGAAATCTAAAACACTGTTAGCAATGTTTGAATGTTTTTATTCACATATTTTTCCCCACTGTCCTCCCGTTGTTCATTGATTTGCTTGAGCAGGCCCAGTAACGTCTCCATTATGAAACTTCTTGTTACTGTGTTTGGCATATTGAATACTCTCGGTAGCTTGCCAGGCTGTCCAAGAGGGGCGGAGGAATCGAACCTGGCTCGGCCGGGCTGACTGCGTGCAAGGCAAACGCCCTACCGCTGTGCTATCACTCCAGCCCATTTTTCCCCATTTTTCCAATTTTTTAGAGCATTACAAAGCCTCTCATGATTGAATTGCAGTCATATAGTATTCCAACATGCATCCCTCCAGCAGTGTACCATTTCCCAGCATCAGTGTCCCCAGGTTCCCTCCCATCACCCCCCATTCCTTGACTGCCTCTTTGGCAGGTGCTTCTCTCTCTCTCTTTCTTTCTCTCTCCCCACCCCCTCCTTTCCTTTCTTCCTCCCTCTCTCTCTCTCTTTTGGTCAATACGGTAGTTTGCAATATTGATACTGAAAGGTTATCAAGAATATCTCTCACTTACTTTCGACCCTCGGATCTCGTCCAGCATGAACATGCCCAGCTATTATTGGGGTTACCCCTGTCATTGTGTCACTCTTCTCTATCTTACTTACCCTCAGCCCGACACACTTGTGGTTAGTTCCTATTCACATATTTTTATAATATTTTTCATACAATCTTGCTTCCATCACCTAAAAGCTACTCGTAAGTACCTAAATTCACACGAACTGGAGTGATTGCCAAACAGACTCACACAGTAAGTTTGACAATGATGGCTCTGCCTACTTCTGGTATTTTTGTGTAAATAAAAAATGATACTTATAAAAATTAAATCCAGTTTATCTAGAAGCAATCCCTTTTAGAAAATTACCATGACTACCAATTGTCTTATCGATGTTACAGGCAAAGTTTAGCGTCAAAGTCACTGGAAAGAGAAAAAATGCAGAAGGTTGAATTGAAACACGGGCAGGGACTAGAGTGATAGCACAGAGGACAGGGTGTGCTTGCCTTACACAAAACCCACCTGGGTTCCATTCCTGCCACCCCATATGGTCCCCTGAGCCCCACTGGCAGTGATCCTGAGCACAGAGCCAGGAGTAAGACCTGAGTGCGGCCTGGGATGGCCAAACACTCCATCCCCAGCGAATGAAGCAAGCATTGGGGCAGAATAGATCTCTGAACTGGGACCAGATGGTTCTCTATGCACTCCCAGGAAATTTCAACTAGTTACAAGTGATAGGTAAAGGTAAAGGTAAAGGTAAAGGCCCTCCCATTGATCGTCGATTTGCTCGAGCGGGCCCAGTAACGTCTCCATTGGAGACTTTGTTGTTACTGTGTCTAGCATATCGAATACTCTCAGTAGCTTGCCGGGCTCTCCGAGAGGGGCGGAGGAATCGAACTCGGGTCGGCCATGTTGGCTGCTTGTAAGGCGAACGCCCTACCCGCTGTGCTATCGCTCCAGCCCAAGTGAAAGTTAAGTAAATGGTGGGTGTGCGGGTGGGGGAGGGGAGGCCTTGGCAGAATACTAGGAGTCCACAAGAAGGAAACAAGGCTGGAAAAACAAGTTCAGAAACACTGATTGGACATTAAGCAGCTCAAGTCTCTTTTGAGATTTCTGTGCAGCAAAATTATTTCCTGCTGCTCCTTTCTGTAGAATTAATACAACCTCTAGCAACTTTTTTTTTTTTTTTTGCTTTCTGGGTCACACCCAGCAATGCTCAGGGGTTATTCCTGGCTTTGCACTCAGGAATCACTCCTGGCAGTGCATGGGGGACCATATGGGATGTTGGGAATCGAAACCGGGTTGGCCGCATGCAAGGCAAACACCCTACCCGATATGCTATTGCTCCATCCCCCTCTAGCAATTTTTAAGTTAGATAAAAAGATTTTGTTTTGTTCTCTGGAGCCACACTGGTAGAGCTTACTCCTGACTCGACTTTTAGGCATCACTTGTGGCGGGTTCAGGGGATTGAACCTAGGACAGCCACATGTAAGGCAAACACTCTACCTATGATACTATTGCTCCATCCCCCTATCATTTTCTAAAGAGGTATTCTGTTGGGTAGAAACTTAGTATTAAGACACACTAAATAAAACTATCACAATAGTTAATGTGAATTTAAAAAACGACACAAACAGAAAATAAGCATTCAACACTTTATTGTTTTCATCAACTGTTTTCTGTGAAGCGTTTTTGTGGTATCAGAAACTATAATAAAATTATTTCATACGACATGATGGAAAGGCTAGATATGTTTCAACTAAATTAAAATAAGAAGGAGGCAGGGAACGTTAACTAAAAACATACACTGAGGCTAACCATAATAAGAAAGTTCTTGGGGCTGGAGTGGTAGCACAGCGGGTAGGGCATTTGCCTTGCACGCCGCAGCTGACCCAGGTTCGATTCCCAGCATCCCATATGGCCCACCGAGCACCGCCAGGAGTAATTCCTGAGTGCAAAGCCAAGAGTAACCCCTGAGCATCCATCGCCAGGTGTGACCCAAAAAGCCAAACCCCCCCTCCAAAAAAAGAAAGTATTTTCGTGGATAAAACAAAGTCTTATTTTTTATTTTATTTATTAATTCATTTATGCTGGGCTAGATCCTGCTGTTCTCAGGGCTGACACTGAAGTCTGTCCTCAGGGAGCCACACGCAGTGCTGGGGACGGAACCCGCCTGGCAAGAGGTGAGGCGGGGCCTAACCCACTGTATCTCTCCAGCCCAAAGTCTCATTGTCTGAGCGTCACAGTACAGTACTGAATACATTTCAAGTCAAATTTATAAGTAATGAAAAGGCAAAATGGATGGTCATATTCAAGTCAACTGATCACATTCGACGTAACACAGACAGATGTGGAGGAAAAACCATTTCCAAAAAAGGCGCTGTCGTCATAAAAATATGAACTGACATTAGTTACAAATTGGCTGTGGAGGAAACTGCTGTGTAACGTGGGAAGGAGAGAGAGGTGAGTGGATCGTGTGCCAGGATTTGAACAGACACCCGAACAGTCTACACCGTCTGCACACTGTAAACATACACTTAGGGAAAGGTACGAAGGTGAAGAATGAACACGAGCCAGGTGACTCCCAGAACGAACCAGCCCCAGGTGTTGCCCAGGCGCTGGCCCGCTAGGTCGGGATCCGGTCTCGCAGATACTCCAGCACCGCGGCGGTTCCCTTCATCAACACGGCCGCCCGGGGAACGCGGAACGGGTTTCCATCCAGGAGCAATGTTCTGAGCAAGACAAAGGAGAACTTGAATACTTTCCTTTGGGGAGGCTCCCCTGGCCCCCCCCCCAATTTGTCCCTTTTCAAATCCTCAACGTTTTAAATGTAATTATAACTATTAATAAATGTATTCCTAGGTGCTGTGCTAAGTAATTTGCATTCACTGATGACTGATGAGCCAAACCACCCTATGATGTGGCCACCATCAGTATACCTACATAGAGAAAAGTGAGCTTGGGGATATAAGAGACTGGCCCAAGATCACGGTAAAACCAGAAGAGCCGTCCGTGATCTGGATCGCCCTGCTAACCCTCCAAAGACCAGACACCAAGTGTTGGGAATGACCTACATGAACAGTAACGAGCTCACCAACAAGCACCAGAACCAAGAACGTGAACAACCCAAGCCTCCCCCGTCTCCTGGGAGCACGGCCAGGCCGCTCATCTTCCTGAAGCAGACCCGGGCACACAATCCATTTACAGGGTCTCAAACAAACATGTGAAGGGACTTGGGGATCCGCTCAATAGATACCGCCCGGTTCAACGGGCACGTTATCGGCCGCGGCTCAACAACAGAGCACTGCCTTGGGGTTCCACCCTGATGCCTCAAGTAAATGCCCCTTGGTGTCCACTCAGTCACGTCCTCTGTGATCCCACAGTCCAAAAGTGGAGTACAGAAGGACTGTCTACTTTCTCCACACACGAGACGGCAGTGACAAGCCTCACAGAAAAGCATGTAAGAAATAAGCGTCCTGCAGGCCTCAGTTCGAGCCGCTGGGCCACGAGTTCAAGGCCAGGAATCAATGATACTGGATAGGGGAACCTGGCTTGGCTTTGAGGGGCTCAGGGGAATCACGAGGTACTGAGGATTGAAGTCTGTCTCGTCTCCCACTGTGGCCTCGCCCTCAGAGCCACCACCCTGGTCCCACTGGAGATCGCTTAGAAACAGGTGACATGTCTGTCCACGGGCCGATACCGCTCACAGGAGCCTGACTCTAGACTTGCCCCAGCAGTAATGGTTCTGGAGTCACTAACCTGGTCTTCTCAAGGACTTCAGAAAACACAACGACTGCAAATGATGGGCCTCCACTGTACTTACCTCCTGGAACTCGCTACCTGAAGCGTCTGAGGAGATGCCAAGTGGCATCCATGGTAAGCAAAGTGTGCTGAGCCGCCTGGAGCAGCTGGCGCTTAGTAAATTACTCCTGACACTTCCCACTATGACTTTCTGTCAACATCCCCAACTCCCACTGACAAAGAGCGAGTGCTGTGGTAACCCTCCCACAGGACCAAGTAAGAGTCTGAACAATCCCAAACTAAGCATGATGGGAAATTAGAGGGGGGGAGGGCCTAGAGTGCAGGGAGGACGGCCAAGGGGTTCTTCAGTAACCTTGACTGGTTACTGGTCAAGGCACGGTGACAGCATCCGAGGCTGAGGAACCAGCAAACACAGAATAAGAAAGATCATGTCGCAGGTGAAAGTCATGGCAGTAAAGGAATCTGACTTAAAAAACCAAGCAAGAAAAACATACAGCTGTGGAATTATTATTTCCCTCAATGTTTAAGCAACCGGAGTTTCTGATTATACACAGACACAGTAACGAGGAAAGCATCCCCCCAACTATCAACCATCATACGTACACGTATACCCAATCAACAGCTGAAAAGCAAACGCTAACAATCAGGATTGGCGATTCTGTTCATTATTTTGAACAGAACGTGACATTTGTTGCTTTGACTTTGCTGCAACAATACTTCAAAGCAAGAAGAACGTGTCATTTTAGGAGGGGGCAGCACTGGGTGAGGGAAGGGGACACAGGTAAAGGGGCTAGTGTGAAACACCGTGTGCCTGAAACCCAAACACAAGTAATTTTGTCATTTCAGGGGACTGAAAGAAACTGAAAACAAAAAAATTGAATGCAAAAGGCAAAAAACAGAACTTAGTTTTGATTTCTGGAGAAGTCTGCGAGCCTGGCGCCATTCCCGCTTGGTGGTGCTCAAGGGTGACTCCTGATCTGTGCTCAGGAGTGACCCCTGGTGGTGCTGGGGATTCAAATCGGGGGCAACAAGAAATCAGGGCTAGTCTAGTACAGCAGGGAAGGTGTTTGCTTGGCACATGGCTGACCCAGGTTCGAGCCCCGGCATCCCAAACAGTCCCCCAAGCCCTGCCAGTAGTGATTCCTGAGTGCAGAGCCAGGAGTAAGGCCTAAGCATCGCAGGGTGTGCCTGCCTGGCAAATCAAACTGGGGTTTACAGGATGCTGACGTCTTTATTCCTATACTCGCTTTCTGGGGCCCAAGGCAAAAGAAAAAACAAAACAAAACTTTTACTTCAACCAGCCAGAAAACAGCCAGATGAACAACTTAGAGTGGTGGTTACCTTAAGTTCACACAGTTGCCAAGCTCTGGTGGGATTTGCAGGAGGTCATTGTTCTGAAGGTCCAAAGTAATCAGATTTTCCATTGCCTTCAGCTTTTGAGGGTCTATAGATCCAACCTGATTATTACTGATCAAAATTGTTTCCAGTGCAGGGATGCGATACAGAACGTCCGGTAGTATTTTAAACCTATTCAAATGTTAAAGCAACACCTAAATATACTGGAATTAGCAAAAAAATAACACTCTTTCCAAGAGATGTTGCTAAGTTTCCTATAAGCTTATTTTATATTTGGTTATGTCTTACAAATACTCCAGAGAATAAAGAGAATGGGCGAATTCTGGAAAGCCTAAAATATCTGACGGATGAACAGGAATTCTCTGGTGTTTTTCACACTCAGTAACTCCGGGAACCCTCCTGAGAAACCCCGACACGGTGCCTCCCCACAGCTATTCTTCCTGAGCTTGTTTTTGTTTCTTGAGACACGGAATCACTGACAGTCAACAAACAAAAATTAGGGAGCTGTACTCTGCTTTAGTGATGCTTTCAAAATGAGAGCACTGTGGATTCGTGAAGTAAGGCACTGGCCGCCAACATCCTCGTCTGAGGCGGCCCGCGAAGCCCAGTGTGAGCGGAAGGTCCCAGGCCACAGGGACCACAGAAGGATGACGCAGGACCTCTGGGGGCAGTGACAGGCAGGGCTGCCGCAGAGGCAAACTTCCACCCAGGCTAGGAAAGACAGTGAAGGGCCCCTCCTACTAAACTGGAAATTCCTCCTGAATCTCCTGACTCACTCCTGTGCCTGAGAACGTGCGATCTGCTCTGCCCTCAACCTGGGTGTCCGGCAAACATCTCACGTGTGCAGTTTGATACCAGGCTGCTGCTCTGGCTTCCAGGCGCCACAGGAAACACCTTTCTATGTCCTGTGCATCCAAGATGAATTGTAATTTCCCTGTTAGTTTCTTTGTCACTAGCTTCCTATGAGGCTAAACGTTTCTTCAACAGGTTAACAGGAACAACAAAAATACCAGACATCAGAGGTCAGTGTTCTATGAAAGCCACGTCACTAAGCGAAAAAACAAAACCCCCAAGCCCCAGGATACTTAAATAAAAGTCTTTTACTTGGCTCTTTTGGTTACACAGAGACTTTCGTCACAACCAGGATGGAAACGTTAACTCCCTCCGCTTGTGCCAAGTAATGACCTGGGAGTGAGCCGTCACTCCTGCCTCTCCTCATGAAAGGAGGAGAGAAGAAAAGGACGGTCAGCTACCAGCTTCTGACCACGAGCACCTCACATGCTGGCTGAAAAGTGTGTGTGTCAGAATGGGAAAGAATATTTACCCAATACCCATCTAATAAGGTATTAATATCCAGGATATACAAGACACTAGAATTGGACAAGAAAAAACCTCCAACCCATCAAAAAATGGGGAAAAGAAATGAACAGAAGTTTCCTCAAAAAAGAAATACAAACGGCCAAAAGGCAAATGAAAAAATGCTCCACATAGCTAGTCATCAGGGAGATGCAAATCAAAACAACAATGAGATATTATCTCACACCACAGAGACTGGCACACATTCAAAAGAACAAAAGCAACCAGTGCTGGCGTGGATGTGGGGAAAAAGGGACACTCTTTCACTGCTGGTGGGAATGCCCACTAGTCCAGACTTTCTGGAAAACGATATGGACAGTCCTTCAAAAACTAGAAACTGAGCTTCCATATGACCCCGCAATACCACTTCTGAGAATATATCCTGAGGATGCAAAAAAGCACAGTAGAAATGACATCTGTACCTATATGTTCATTGCAGCACTGTTCACAATAGCCAAAATCTGGAAACAACCCAAGGGCACTAGAACAGATGACTGGTTAAAGAAACTTTGGTACATCTACACAATGGAATACTATGCAGGTGTCAGGAGGGATGAAGTCATGAACTTTGCTAATAAATGGATAGACATGGAGAGTATCATGCTAAGTGAAATGAGTCAGAAAGAGAGGGACAGACATAGAAGGACTGCACTCATTTGTGGAATATAAAACAACATAACATGAGGCTAAGGATAGTAGATACACGGGACAGGTAGATTGCTCCATAGCTGGAAGCCTGCGTCATGAGCGGAGGGGAGAAGGCAGCTGTAATAGAGAAGGGATCACTAAGAAAATGATGGCTTGAGGAACTGGTTGTGATGGGAGATGTGTGCTGAAAGTAGATAAAGGTCCAAACATGATAACCTCTCAGGGTCTGTATTGCAAACCATAATGCCCAAAGTAGAGAGAGATTATGGGGGATCATGTCTGCCTTGGAGGCAGGGGGAGGGTAGAAAAGGGGGGAGTATACTGGGGATATTGGTGGTGGACAATGTGCACTGGTGGAGGGATGGGTGTTTGATCATTGTGTGATTTTGTAATCCAAACATGAAAGCTTGTAACTATCTCATAGTGATGCAATAAAATTTTAAAAAAAAAAAGTGTGCGTGTGTATGCGCGCGCGCACATGCAAAGAGGTTCTGCCTTTCTTTCTTTTTTTTCTTTTTGCCTTTTGGGTCACACCCAGCAATGCACAGGGGATACTCACTCCTGGCCCTGCACTCAGGAATTATTCCTGGTGGTGCTCAGGGGACTATATGGGATGCTGGGAATTGAGCCTAGGTCGGCCACGTGCAAGGCAAACGCCCTTCCCGCTGTGCAATCGCGCCAGCCCCTAAAGTGACTTCTTTATTAAAGTGACTTCTTTAATGGTACTTTGGGCTTACTCCTAGTTCAGTGGATCATACCGGGTGCCTAGGACAAACCCAGGTCAGCTGCGTGCATAGTGAACACCATACTTGCTCTGCTACCTCTCCTGTCCCACTAATAATACAATTTCAAAACTCATTAGTCACAGATTTGTTGGTCATCTCTTACCTATTAAAAGAAAGATTGATTGTTTGTAATCTTATCAACGTGTCCATTTCTTCAGGCAACGAACTTAAAATATTATTCCTAAATTGGAAAGAAAAGATGATTTACAAGATTTAAAACACTGAGGTCAATTTCTAATAAAGATATCAGTTGGATAAAAAAATTACAGAGCCCAATTTGTCCATCTCTGATCTGATCTCGCTAATTCTGAGAATTCTGAATCAATCATGTACTTCATTAGGGCGCTAAATCTGAAAAATCCCCGCATGCAACCAAATGACAGCACTGTCCATTCTGAGATCACGGACCCACAGGTTAACAGTATAAACCAATCCTTTATTTTCTTTTAATATGAGCTCAGCAAGGGTTTTCACCACCGTAAATACTTTTTCACGGTTTACTTGAGATCCTGCTTCCGGATACTGTATTCACGGAATACAGAAACTTGACTGCTACCTAACCGGTGTTAATACACACCGTCAGAAGCAGACATGAAATTATATTCCGAAAAAGAACTGAGAGAAATAGGGAAGAAGGAAACAAAAAGGTTTTTCTGACCACACAGGGAGCGAGCAGTTGGATTTCTAAGCTTAGAACTTCAATTTGGACAGGGCGTGCTTGTCTACTGAGATCTTACAAAGGGACACGGCAGGAAACACAGTGGCATTCACTGAGTAAGAGGCACGAGGCAGAAGGATCCCAGGAGCGCCTGGCTACTGAGAAAACGCTTGTGGGAAACTTAGCACCAGCTACAAGTCCTGCTCCAGGTGAACGCGTCTCTCTAGTTCGTGTTTCCGGAAATCTTTATGACCCAGGCCCATTCCGACCCTGCTTCCTTCCTGCGTCCACCCCTGCCCCACCCACTGGTCCCCTAGTCGAGCCATGGCCACCCTGGAATATCCTGAGGTCCCACAGGAGGCCACAGAGCTCCCGGCTGAGAAACGCTGCTCTAACCTACCTCCACGGATTATATGTAACTTTCTCAAGCATCACCTAAATTTGCTTTACTTAGCAACTTTTATCTTATTACCTTTTCTCTGTCAACAGACTGCGGGTACCTTGTTTTTATACTCTTGTCCCTTATATCAGGCTTGAATACAGGGTGGCTAAAATTTGGTCTTGATTTTTATTGGTTTGGGGGCCACACCTGGCAGTGCTCAGGACCTACCCCTGGCTCTGTGTACAGGAATCTCTCTTGGAAGTGCTCAGGGGACCAGGCAGGGGATGGGGACCAAGCCTTGTGTGGTCGTGTGCGAGGCAAATGCCCTACCCACTGGACTACCTCTCCAAACCCCAAAAATTTATTTTTAAGTCTGCTAGCAGCTGGGGTTACAGATAGGGGCCTACAGAGCCACTCAGAAGGACCAAAAGAAAGAGACACAGCAAGGGGCCAGAGAGACAGAGACACCGCAGCAGGCCAGAGTCCCCTTTCCTCTGTTGGCTCGGGTCACACTGAACCGAAATGCGCCCTCCGCTCTTCTGCCAGCAAAGCTGCCACCCGAAGCAGAAGCAATGTCACAGCCCATCCGAGGTCGCTGCATTTGCTCTCATGCGCTATGTGAAATGTTTGTCTTCTCAGGAAAAACAGCTTACAAGGAAAATATACCCAGGAATAACGTAAGAGCAATAAGAAGCTCACAGACACAGGTACCGGAGACACAGTGTTCAAATAAAAAGAATCCAAGTCCAAGCAAATAAGTGATCATCTGCGACACACTGTGACCTTCCAAGGAACAAGGATCCTCTGATTCTGTCACTGCAGGAACACAGAAAGCACCGTCCCCACAGCCTCTGCACAGCAAACAGTTTCTCTGGGCAGCCACTGCAAGTGTCTTTTCCTTTTCTTTCTGGCCTTGCGTGGTTAATGTGGCACCCTGGGACGGTCCCTTGGGAGAGCCTCAACAGAGATAACAGAGGTTGGTGCCAGTTTCCCGCAGAATCCCGGGGAATTCATGTGTTAGCAGAGTCCAAACACTATGTGAGGTCCCCGAAATAATTCTGCCTCTTAACTTCATCTGAATGTGTTTCATGAATACTTACTTTGGGGGCTTCTCCCAAACAGCATTTCATGAGCTAAAGAGCAGTGTCCTGACAGATGGAGGAACATAAGGATACAAAAGTAGGAGACCCAAACGATAAGTTTATAACAATAAAACATGAAGCAACAGAACCAATAATTACCTGAGATCTAAAAAAGTCAGTTTCTGAAGCATACACAACTCCGAGGGCACAAGGGAAAGCTTATTAAAACTGAGATTGACATCGGAAACAGTTTCCTTCAGTTCTACAATCCTAAAAAAAAAAAAAAATCATGTGAAAATTTCAGTATACCGGATTCACTGTTCAAGCTTCGAATTGAGCAGATATGTTAGGACTTGCGGATTATTTCTGATGATAAAGATTTTCTGTAACTTTTGGGAGATGGTTGGCGGCTCAGTGGCTAAAGCATGAGGCCCACGAGTTTGACTCCCAGGGCTCCTACATGAGACGAGCAGGTTGAGCTCCTCAGCGCCTCCACATCACACCCCAAGTAACGGGGTGACACTGGCAAGCACCATAACTACAAAGATGCAGTTCCTGCTGACAAGTGCATATGTCAGCGACACAAGCGGCCCCAGGAGCACGTGTGAGCACCACAACCGGATGCAGGGTCCTCCCCACAGCAAGCTCATGTGAGCGTCACTGTCAAGCACAGCCCATGGCAACCCTCACTTCAACATCAATAGAGGGAAGAAAAAAGGGGGAAGGAAAAGGCTTTCCGGAACTTTTCTTTTCCTCAGAAAAAATCTGGGAAGTATTGATATTTGAATATGTAACTGACAGAAAAGCAGTTTTTAAAACATGGCGTGGATAGCACCTATCCAAGATTTTCTACTTGGCCTTAAACGTAAGTGCGGGTTTGAGTTTTTCTTTCTGGAGAGGCTCTGCAGCAGTACTCAGGAAGCCAGAGCTCTGCGGTGCTGGGAGCCACCCAGCAACATTCGGGCTGCGGACCCTCCACAGGGTGTCATGGGCTGAACCCGGTTGGCCCCATGCAAGGAACATGCCTAACCCCGAGGCCATCTCTCCAGATCCTACAGTGTGATTAAGAACCAGAACTGTACACTTCAACGAACTATGGACAACGAAAAATCAAGTCTAGACAAATGCTACACTTGAATCTGTTAATGAACTGCATTCCTAAGCTGTGACGCATCCATCTGGGAAGGGAGCAGCCCCCCTCAGAGCACACTACATACCACCTGTATCTCGGACCTCAAAATCACTTTGTGAAATAGATCACCTTTCAAAAGCATAGTTTGGTATTTTTTATCCAACTTATCATTATACTGAGTTTGCACACGCAGCTGGTAAGGCTGTTCTGGCAAGTTTGGGGACGTATGTATGATGACACAAACTCAGGCTTGGTCATTTTCTAGAAATCTGGCCTAGAGAGACAATGAGGGTTCCTCACTGGCTCTTCCCTCCCTCTGTGCTACTGCGAGGAATGGAGGTGACTGTGGTTCTGATGGTACTGGGGGCACTGGGCTACAGAAAGTGGTCTGTGTGTGGTGGTGGTGATGCTTGTGTGTGCGTGTCTAGGGACATATGTGGTGCTGCAGTTGAATCTGGCTTGGCATTTGCAAGGCAAGCACCTTGCCTGCTGCACACTGCTCATCTGTCGAGGTTCTTTGAATAGTTTAACTTCAAGATGATAATCTTTTCTATTTCTCCTTGTGGGGTGGGACCCTCGACAGTGCCTGGGAAAACTCTGTGGTACTGGGGTCAAACCTAGGACTCTTAACACGCAAAGCTCATGCTCTGGGCTTTTGGGCTGACTCACATGCCCCAACAGTCATTTTTGGGAGATGAACAGTACTGATTTCCTACCAAAAAAGTGAAAAATGCAGTGACAGCAATATACTAACATAAACCCCAAAATAAAAATTCCTGTTAATCCACAGAGCTAACTGTGGATGTCTTTTATTTATTTGGGGGAATGGTCTTTTAAAAAATATTATTTTAATATTTAAGGAAAAAAATAATTTAATGCTTATAATAATTCCATTTTCTATTTTCTCAAAATTAAACGTAAAAGCTTTGCATATATAAACTCCTGGGTTTGGAAACAAACAAATTCCCCCAGATGGCAAGATTGAAAAAAAAATTCTGTAAGTAAAATCTACAAAAACATATACTATTGTAATCACGTCACCTAAGTTATAATTAAAGTTATGAAGCTATTAAAAGACATAGAAAAACCTATCTCAGAACACATGTTAAATATAAGTCTCGCTATTAAAAGGGATACTTAAGTAAATTTTGCTAAATCAAATACAATTCAGAATGCAAGATAGCTCAACAGACAGAATGAACAGTCGATACCTCTTGGGAATGTCACAAAGCTGATTCTTACTGAAGTTCACGGAAGTGATAACATTGCTTTTCACTGCATCAAATACCTCATCAGGAATCGAAGTTGCTTGTTTATCACTAAATAAAAAAATGGTTTTGAAAATATGTCATGTTTAGCAATACACAGTTGGGTGTGACCCAGAAAAACAGGGGAAAAAAAAATCCCTGTTTTCCCAAAGCGAAAACCACCCTCCGGAGCAACCAACACAGTTGTGGGGGGAGAGAGAGGATTAAGGAGAACTTGGGCAGGAGCAATAGTACAGCAGGTAGGGCACTTGCCTTGCATGCAGCCAACCCAGGTTCAATCCCTGCACCCCACAGGCTCCCCTGAGCATTGCCAGGAGTGATCCCTGAGCACAGAGTCAGAAGTAAGCCCCGAGCACTAGTAGGTGCCTGGACCCCGCCCCCCCACACTTTCCCACAACAAACTGGCCCCAAAACATTAAAAAAATCAATTGAAGGAATTTATGCTTTGAGATTGATATTTAATCTTTATAAATAGAGTATATCTTTTCAGTTAGTCTCTGTGAAAAACAAATTATGACGTACTTAGTATAAAAATGACCTAAGGCACATGGTCTTAAGCACTATTTCATTTTTGTGATATCTGTGCCATTTAAAAGTGAAAAGGTTGTTAGAAAAACACTGTTTCCATACTACAAAACAAGAACATGTATCAAGAGACTAGCGGCACATTTAGCAGCGAGGGAATGGAAGCCAGGAGTAAAAGAAATTCCACACTAAGGAATTCTAAGGCTGGAGCGAAGGGGGTCTGGGCTTTGAGTCACAGAAATGTTCTTTCCAGAGATGATGTCTTATTTACCTGTCAAACACAATGAACACAAATGGCTGAAGGAATGGGAATTTAAGTTCAATGCCCTTCTAACACGTTTTGCTCTCAGCACGGTTACCCAAATGCCATATGCCTATTTGGTAGACAGTTTTGGGGAACTAAATTTGTTGTTGACAAATTCTTAGTCCAATGCTCACGTGCCCTAAGATATTCGTCTTCATAATGGTCCTTTTCCTGAAGAATTATTTCTAACTGTTTCCTAAATGTTTGGAGATGTTTAAAAAGTGAATGATGGGGCTGAAGCGACAGTCCAGCACAGAGAGCACTTGCCTTGTATGTGGGCAGTCTGGGTGTGGTCCCCAGCATCCCAGGGTCCCCTGAGCACAGAACCGAGAGTGTGACCCCTGAGAGTAAGGCGCAGAGTCTGGAGTAAGCCCCGAGCATTGTCAGATGTGGCCCCACAACAGGAACAAAAACGAACAAAAAAGAGGATGACATACCTGTAGTCTAATAGTTTTAATGTGACAATGGCGTGGACATTGACTCTGGACTCACTGGGGAGCGTCATGGCTGTGTCTGTACCAGAGTCACTTTGGCGAGGCCCGTCATCTGGGGAAAACATTACACAAAAGCAATTACTGACATTACAAAGTCACTTTTAAAACGCGTGCAACTATGCAATATTACACCTGATTCCTAGATACTGCTGGGATGTCAGCCAGGTGCCTTACTTCAATAACTCAAACCTGGGCGGGGGCCTTCATGGTAACAGAGAACAGTTACTATAATACAGCTCCCAAGTCTTTTATTTTTTATTTTATTTTATTTTTGCTTCCAAGTCTTTTAATAAATACTACAGTGAGGAAATCTGGCAGTCAGAAACAAACTTCAGAGAACCTAATGTCTCAAGAGAAAGACAGATGAAAAGGACTTCTCTTAAGCCAAATAATGTGAACCATTCAAAGGAAATCTGTCAACAACAAATTTAGTTCCCCGAAACTGTCTACCAAATAGGCATATGCTGTCTTTTCATTTTAGGATACAATGATGTTGATTATTCCCAATCACTTTAAGATTTGGCATTTACATAATCAAGCAATCTTTGGCACATTATGTTGAAACATTTTCTTAGCAAAATGCAGGACTTTTATTTTCAATAGTTAGTCCCTAAAATGCCTGCATCTTCACACGTCACACATAATCAACACCCTCACTCTCTGTAGAGACTGTTTAACACTGCCATCACATGGTAGCACTGTAGCACTGTCCTCCCGTTGTTCATCGATTTGCTCAAGCGGGCCCAGTAACATCTCCATTGTGAAATTTGTTGTTACTGTTTTTGGCATATTGAATATGTCACAGGTAGCTTGCCAGGCTTTGCTGTGCGGGCAAGATACACTCGATAGCTTGCCGAGCTCTCCGAGAGGGGTGGAGGAATTGAACCCAGCTCTGCTGGGCCAACCACGCACAAGGCAAATGTCCTACCGCTGTGCTATCACTCCAGCCCATCATATGGTATAAAACACAAAACAAACAGTATGAATTTTAAGGAAATGGCTTCATGATTTACCTCACAAAAGAGAAGTGCACAACCTGTAAGTGAAATATCCAATCAGATTTGCATGGAAAACAGTTTCAAATTATTAAACGAGTAACTGTACTCCATGGAAGAGAAATTAACAACTGGCAACCAAGTAGTAGAAATACTAATACCATCAGTTTGTAGAAATTGCCTTTGTTAGGCTTTGGGATCACACCCGGAGGGGCTGGGGGCTACCCCAGCTGTGTGAGGGGTGCTCCCAGCTCTGCTTGGAGGAAGTGAACCCTAGTCTCACACAAAATACTCCACCTGCCCTTCTGTGCTCTGTCCCCAGTCCTTAGAAACCACTCTGTGATTGGGAGTGATCACTTTCATGTTCTCCCAAACTCAGAAGCAAGCAGATATACAGATAGTGTTTAACCAAGAGGTCTCTAACGTTTCTGGACTGAGGTCAAAGGTGCTAAGAACTTTTAATGTTCTTCTGGCAAGCCTTTTCTGCTCGAGACATATGGATACTGAGACTGTTAACAGTCTTACTTTCTGACTAGATTGCTCGTGTCTCTTCTGTCAAGCCACAAAATCATGGTGATCCAGTTAAACATGCAAAGGCAGTACAATGAAGCAAAGATCTTCTCCACAAATGCTATTAAAACAATGGGATGTACAATGAAAAGAAAAAAAAATCCTTGCTCATAAAAAGTTGGAAACAAAGACAACCTTTAGTAAGTGAATGGATAAATAAACTGGGTTCACCCAGACAACAGGCTATTATTCAGTGCCAAAAACAGAAAAAAGAAGCTATCAAGTCATGAAAAGAAAAAAAAAAATTAAGAGGGCCTTAAATGCAGATTTCACATGAAAAAATCCAGTTCAAAAAGGTTATCTACTATATGGCATCATTTATGTGACATTCTTAAAAAATAAAAAGATTCATGGTTGCCAAAGAATTGGTAAATCACAGAACTTTTGTATTTTTTAAATTGTTTGGCCATGACAGGGATCAAACCAGGGCCGTGACGGATCAAACACATACAAGACGGGCTGGAGCAATAGCACAGTGGGTAGGGCGTTTGCCTTGCATGCGGCCGACCCGGGTTCGATGCCCAGCATCCAATATGGTCGCCTGAGCACCGCCAGGAGTGATTCCTGAGTGCAGAGCCAGGATTCCTGAGTGCAGAACCCCTGTGCAACGCCGGGTGTGACCCAAAAAGCCAAAAAAAAAAAAAAAAAAAACCAAACCACATACAAGACAAGACAAATGCTCTATATCTGAATACTGATAATAAGAATTTTTAAAACAGTGAGAAAACACTGCATGATACAATGCTGGATATACATATATTTATATATATTTATATTAGTAAAGTAAAGTAAAGGCCCTCCCGTTGATCATCGATTTGCTCGAGCGGTAATGTCTCCATTGGAGACTTTGTTGTTACTGTGTCTGGCATATCGAATACGTCACGGGGAGCTTGCCAGGCTCTGCCGTGCGGGCGAGATACTCTCGGTAGCTTGCCGGCTCTCCGAGAGGGGCGGAGGAATCGAATTCGGGTTGGCCATGTTGGCTGCATGCAAGGCAAACGCCCTTCCGCTGTGCTATCACTCCAGCCCATATTTATATTATAAAATTTATATTTATAACAGACTTATATACATAGTCGAATTTTCAGCATTATATATATGTATGTGTGTATATACATAAACACACACATTTGTTGTATACACAATGTACAACCTTTAGAATGAGCCCAAAGGTCACTGTGAACAAGGGGTACTTATGGATAAGAGTGCATCCTTTGCTGGAATGGACATTTACAGATGCAGGCACATACACATGAGCCATTCTGGTAAGTGTACGCATAACAGGTCAGACATGTGTGGAGACACAGGATAGCTTTTAAATTTACTTTTAAGTGTCTGGAGAGAGAGTACAGAGGTCAAGGCACTTGCATGCATATGGTTGACCCCAGTTCAGACTTATCCCTGGCACCAAATATGGTCCCCCCTCCCCCCGAGACCTGAACACTGCCAGGTAAGACCAGCATGCCTCTTAAATTAAAAAAAAAAAATCAGGTTAACTGACTTCTGATACCCCTCAATGACAGGAAACTAGCATTTCCAAAAAATATTTATTTGGAAAAGTAAATTCGAAGACAGAAATAACTGAAATATGTCATTTTCTCATTCGTTTAACATAAAATAACTGGCATTGTGACACAGGGTGAGGCCATGCATGACCAAGAGTGATAAACTGTATTAGCAACTCCATAGTTAGCCTCTAAGTTCCGACATGGTCTGCTATACAGCACTACACTGGCACAGCTCATTTTCCTGAAGATTCTGGAGGAAGCTACTACGCCACGCATTGAAATTAAAGCGAGGCTGTATCATACTTGTCACGAAGCATCAAAAATTAAATTAACCATGCTAGGAATGAGTGGTGATAGAGTGTTTGCCTCGCATGTATGAGGTTCTGAGTTTGACGCCTAAAATCAAAAATTAATCTACTGTACATTTTTTTCTTAATGTATGTCTATATTCACAATATAGCTTCAAAAAAGTGTGTGGGAGGAGGGGGCAGGAGGCTGAGGAGACTGCCAGCATTTTTGCAGTGTTTTATTTTGGTCAGAACTTCACAGAGCTATGCATATAGCAGACTTGTAGTCCAAAAGAACCTATTTATTATATTAATAAAAGTCAGTATTTTCTCTTTTACCAAAACTAAAGCACTAGATGCCTACTGAATCTGTTATAATTTCTAATTCACACCTGAAAATATGAACTGAAATGAGTAATATGAGTAATCTTTTTCAAATAAGCATAATTTAGGTCTATTTAGACTCAGAATTAGAGGCCACACTTGCAAGGGTTCTAAGTACCCACACAGCCAGTACATCTGAAAAGCAAATAGACTATTAACACTTTAACCACCTTTCACATAATCCTTCAAAATTAAGGTGGAAACAGGAAGGTACCTATGATCTTGCTCCGCAGATATTTTAGAACTTCTTGGGTTCCCTTCTGAAAAAGTGGAAAAACATATTTACCAACATGTAACTTGCAGTTTTATAGAATATTTATAGAATAACATGAAAAAAAAAAAAGAGTTGACGGGGCTGGAGCAATAGTACAGCAGGCAGGGCACTTGCTTTGCATGTGGCCAACCCAGGTTTGACCCTGGGCCCCCCATATGACCCTGAGCCCCCCGCCAGGAGTAATCCCTGAGCAGAGAGCCAGGAATGAGCCCTGAGTACAATTGGGTGTGGGCCAAAAACCAAAATGAGAAAAAGAAAAAAAAAGTTAAGTTCTAATTTTACTTACATTTATAATTTCTCTTCGAATGGTTCTCAGAGGATTTCCTTCTAGTGCCAAGAATTTCAAATGAAGATTTCCCAATGTGTAGGGCAGACTATAAAACATTAAAATGATTTCAGGGAAAACATTAAATATAATTAAAATCACTGACTATAAAAAAAACTAATAATATATGACATTGTATATCATGTCATAATCTCAAAGAAAACTCAAGTCCTGTAGGACTAAAGCATTAAATAAAGGCCCTCCCGTTGATCGTCGATTTGCTCGAGCGGGCCCAGTAACGTCTCCATTGGAGACTTTGTTGTTACTGTGTCTGGCATATCAAATACTCTCGGTAGCTTGCCGGGCTCTCCGAGAGGGGCGGAGGAATTAATTTTTAAAAAATTTTTTAGAGCATTACAAAGCTATTCATAATTGAATTGCAGTCATACAGTATTCCAACACCCATCCCTCCACCAGTGTACATTTCCCAGTACCAGTATCCCCAGGATACCTTTCATCACCCCCCCACCCCCCATCTCCAGCCTGCCTCTTTGGCAAGGCGTAAAGCATCATTGAGATAAAAAGGATTTGGGGGGCTTAGGGTTAAGGTTAGGGGTTAGAGGTTAGGGTTGGGGGTTAGGGTTAGGAATAGGATGTATCTATAAAATATCTGCTAAATCATATGAGTACTAAAAAGTGTTCAAATATAAATCAGGGCTGCAGAGGTTTCAGGTACCTGCTCGCATGGGGTCAACTCAGTCTGGATCCCTGGTACCACATATGGTCCCCCTGGAGCACCAACAAGGACCACCCTGAGCAGAGTCAGGACTAGCCCCCAAGCACTGCATGGTGTGGTTCCCAAATTTAAAAAATAAAAGATTTTTTTAAGTAGATAAAAAAATAAACACCCCCAAATCAACTGCCAAATACCACTTTCTCTATCAAACCTCTCAAATCTTGCAATTCTCATTGTTACTGCTTACAAAAGTGCCCTCTTAGTTGATAAAAATGGACTTTCAACTTTTCATTTCTATGTAGGGGACCCGTGGGGATGGGTCTTGCAGGACTGAGGGTAGAACTCAGGTCTCCCACAAACTAGGCACGCACTCTACCACTAAGATCACCTCTCAGCTCTTTTAGATCCTTAAAAACAGATCTTTCTTTTTCTTTTTTTGGCCACTGGGGTGGTGGCTCAGGGGTCACTCCTAGCTCTGTGCTCAGGAATAACTCGATGCGGACATGGAGGGGATCAGATCGGGTGCCGGGGATTGAACCAAGGCCGGCCACGTGCAAGGCAAGTGCCTTATCCACTGCCCTGAAAATGTCTTTACTGGCATCCAAAGAGCACTTTCCACATGGCTCCCATTTACTTCTCAGTCTCTAAATTCTTACCATTCCCCAACTTAACCCATCCAGACCAACTTGACGCCTGCTGTTATTAAGCAGACCTGTAACTTTCAAGGGCCTCTTGTTGGGCGAATCATTCCAACCAACCTACAAGAGCACTTGAAAATGATGGTCCCCTCTGAAAGATTCCGAGAGGAATTAGACAGAAACCTAGTGGCTGTGTTTTTCAATGCTGTGCCCCGGGTTCATGTCTTCCTCTCTTCTCAGCTCACCTTCTCCTAAAGCTCACCTAAGGCTGTGATTTTCTCCAACACAGACACTGATTTAGAAGTTCAAGAATTAAGAACAGAAAAGATGAATATTCAGCCTTCCCAGAGTTATTTCTGGTGGGCTGGAGGAATTTGTATATACAGTTAAGTCCAAAGCAAGGTAAATGTGCCACCAAGGACAATATCCAACCCATCTATGTCTATCCATCTATCCAACCCAGCACATGACGGTTGCTCAATGTCCTGGATTTCATTCAGAAAATAATCTCCATGTGGTTTTCACTTTTTGTCGATTTTGAGATTTCACGGTTTTGTTTTGTTTTTTTTTTAATTATCAGAAGCTGGGGAGTTACTACATTTTTTGTTCTGTTGTACCAAGGAGATCAAACTCAGAGCCTCACATATGAAAAGCACATGCTCTACCACCGAACTCCATTCCTGGCCTAAAAATGATAAGCAAAGACAGATACAATTTCTTACTCCCTTGACCTTCAAACTTACCCACTAATATCATTGTTGCTTAAGTCCAGTCTCTCCAACGACTGCAGGAGGGCAATTTCATCCGGAAGAGACTTTAACTTGTTATCCCGCAGGTCTAGCACCAGGATAGAGCTCAGGTGTTTAAGATGCTCTGGCCCTAACGTTTCAATCTGGTTTTCACCCACATGAAGCTCCTGTGAGAAGAAGAATCAATCGTGTGTGTTTACATATCCAAGTTTCCATTAGGTAACAAGTGGCATTGAAAACCACTTGGAAAAAGCAAAACTCGCTAATCTCCAAACTGCTTAAATTTTCGATTGAATTTGTGCTACCTTACTGTTAAAGAAAACCGACAGAAACTTTTTCAGGAATTTTATGGAGATTTAAAATAATTAAGCGATGGGGATGTAACCAGTGACAGACCACGTGGTTAGCATGAATGAGGAAGACTGTGGGTTAAGCTCCTGGAACTCCCCTGCCAAATAAATAATAAATGAATATTAAAGGTTTACTCGGGGGGGGGGGGGCAGAGTGATATTACAGCGGGGAGGGTATCTGCTTTGCATGTGGCTGACTTGCATTCAATACCCGGTATCCTGTGTGGTCTTCCTAGCATCGCCAGGCGTGATTCCTGACTGCAGAGCCAGGCGTAAAAATTGAGCACTGCCAAGTGCGGCCCCCAGAAAATCAAGACATATAATTAAATTAAAATTAATCTGGAAGGGAATTCAAAGTTTATAAAGCCAAGGCAGAGAAATTATTTACTAGCTTTATATAATTAATGAAAACATAAATACTGATGAAAAAAACTCAAGTTTCAAAGCAAACCAATATCCATCTGGTTTCTAGTGCACAACATTTTAATCCAATATTCGCATGTTTTGAGTTTCAATTTTTTAACAAACTCATATTATAGTTTGTTATTCAACATACTACTCAGTAATTATTACATATACTGATATTAACAAACTATAATGATCAGACAAGTAATCTTATTAAATAACTCAGTTCTATCATTATCGCCATTTTTTCATTTTATTTGGAGGGATTTGGGGGTCACACTTGGCAGTGCTCTGTTCTCAGGTATCACTTCTGGCAAGGTTTGGGGGACCATATGAGGTGTGGGGATCAAACCCTGGTTGGCTACAGGCAAAGCAAGAGAACCTTACCCACTATACTATGAAGTCCCCACCATCATTTTATTTTTCAAAAGTTTTTAACAGTACTGAATTAAAAAGCCCACATAAACTGGGTAGTTTTTAGAGAGAACTCCTGCCGCAGTGCTCTGATCCTCTGGTGCTCAAGGGCCCATTAGGAAAACATCAAGTGGTCTGGAGCCAAGTAGAGCTGGGGATCCATCCCGGCACCTTAGGCCGTGCTTCGTCACTTGAATGACAACCCTGGTTGTCATGACACATTCAGAGAACAAATTTACAGAACACAATTGGTGTCTGGAAATTAATGCTAAACGAAACTTGCTATCACTCAACACGTCAAGCAGCACTTAGGGAATGAGAAAAACTTTTCTCCACAGGCAGCCCAGGCCTCCTCTAAATGGCCCACACAGACAGTGTTTAGTTACAAACTTCCACAAGTAAAAAGGACTGGTTCCTGGGCTGGAGTGCTAGCACAGCGGGCAGGGCATTTCCCTTGCACGCGGCCGACCAGGGTTCGATTCCCAGCATCCCATATGGTCCCCCAAGCACAGCCAGGAGTAATTCCTGAGTGCATGAACCAGAAATAACCCCTGTGCATCGCTGGGTGTGACCCAAAAAAGAAAAAAAAAAAGGACTGGTTCCTTTTTTAACTTAGGAAAAAAAACCTGCTTACTACTAACAATACTGTTAATGCCATTAATCAAATTAAAAGTTCTTAAATAAATTAGCAGAGGAAAAACACAGAGCTTATGCTCAGTACCAAGATTAACTCCTCTTAAAAAAGCATTCACTTTTCTAATAAGCTTTTGGAAGATGATATAGTGATCCCAGAGTAAACGAAGTGTACCTTTAAGAGCTTACAAGAAGGAAATTCTGGCAGAAACCGTAGTTTATTCCTCCGCAAATAAAGCAATTCTAGTGACTCCATACTAGCCAATTCAGGAGGTATTGTTTCCAAGAGATTTGAATTACAATCCAAATGCTTTAATTCTGTAAAATATATTAAGGGCAGGGCAGAAATGACAGAAAAAAAAATTAGTCTATAACTCTATATAGCTCCAAAAGTTAATATTACCAGGCGAGTGCGTGGCTAGTGCCATAAAATTAAAAACAAGACTCTCACTGAATTTAATTAACAAATTAAAGAGGTTTTTCCCCACATTTAATTATAGGAGAATATTCAAATTATGATTTGGCAATAGTATGCAGTATTTATTATAGTCCATAGTAGATTTAAGGAAACTATTCTGGACTGTTAACGTATTTCAAAACATATAAATTGCAAACAATTAGATTATTATTTCTCTTATTATAAATATCTAGGAAAAAGCTCGAGGTTAGATACAAATATGTACAGCCAAGGCAGATACAAATATGTAAAGCCAATTCATTCACTGATTGCATGAATGAGTATCAAGTAACTCGGATTAGTTGCATCTATTGTTAAAGGCAAGCCGTGTTTCTGTTATAAAGCCTTGATTTCTATGCTCTTCTTCCCACTTTTTTCTTCTGGTCCTGCTTCACATTTCCTCTTTCGAATCTCTTTCTTTCCTTTTAATTTGCACGGCTAACTAGGAAACACCTTGGTGCTGGCCTGCAATTAGTAACAACGTAGCTCAAGAAGAATATTTCCACTTGCAGTTCTTTCTCCCACTTCCCAGATCTTTCTTTCTTAAAAGGCAGAATAGAAAACAAAGGGGAAAAGTAAAGGCATTCAACAATTCAAAAAGCAATTTTCTCCCTAATCTGTCCTATTATTTTTGTTTGGGGGGGTGGGAGTCACACCCGGGGGTGCTCAGGGATCACTCATGGCAGTGCTCAGGGGACCCTATATGACAGGGATTGAACCCGGGTTGGCTGCAGGCAAGGTAAGTGCCCTACCCACTGGAATATCACCTTCACATTAATCCATATTAAATTCTACACCTTGAACATCACAGTCCAGCAGGCAGGGTGCTTGCCTTACACACTGATGGCCTAGGTTCGATCCCTGGCACCAAACAGGGTCCCCTGAGCCCCACCAGGAGTCCCAGGAGTAAGCCCTGAGCACTGCTGCGTGTGGCCCCCCCAAACAAACTCAAACCAGAAATCCAATGTTCTTTATATCTTCACTCCAGTGTCCTCTCCGAGGTTTAGCTCAACTTTCTTGCGAAGTGGCAAAGCCAAGTAAAATCTTAACCATGAGGCTGAGAAGGAAGGGCTCCCCTCAAATGTCAGTTCAGTCGACAGTAGCTCCAACTTAAAAAGGCACTCCCATTAAGAATGACAACTAGTCACGGAAAATGAAACAGCACCGTTGTACCAACTCTCCACGTGCTGTGCGGTGAACTGCAGAAGACCCCTTCTGACTTCCTCCACTCACTTCTTAATCACTTAATCACTTAACTTCCCGTTAGTCGTCGATTTGCTCGAGCGGGCGCCAGTAACGTCTCCATTTGTCCCTGTCGCGTGCTAGTGTAGCCCAATGGCATGTTCCTCCACTCAAGGGAAGTTTAAAGCACAAAACGAGGAGGTCTGGAGCTACCGAGAGAGTTTGAAGGCGAGGCACTGCTGTGCATGACGGAGGCCCCGGCTCGGTCCTGGGCACTGCAGGGTCCACCTGACGGGACCGGGAGCGACTTCCGAGCAGAGCTGGGAACTGCCGGTGAGCACTGCCAGGGGGCACAACCTCCCAAATGAAGGCAGCTTATCCACGATTTGCAAAAGACAAGACTGGAAAGGGGCATCTACAACTAAAAGAGAGCAGGTCATCAAGCAAGAAACAGTCCTCTCCCTTTATTGCTTTGAATTTTTTTTTTTTTTTGCTTTTGGGGTCACACCCGGTGATGCACAGGAAACACTCCTGGCTCTGCACTCAGGAATTACTCCTGGCGGTGCTCAGGGGACCATATGGGATGCTGGGAATGCGAACCTGGGTCGGCCGCGTGCAAGGCAAACGCCCTACCTGCTGTGCTATCACTCCAGCCCTATTGGTTTGAATTTTTATTATTTTGTTGTTGTGGGGCTACACCTGGCGATGCTCAGGGGTTACTACTGGCTCTGTACTCGGGACTCACTCCTGGCGGTGCTCAGGGGACCATATGGGATGCAGGGGGTCGAACCCAGGGCTGCCGCATGCAAGGCAGGCACCTTCCTGCTGTACCAGGGCTCCTGCCCCCAGTCCTCTCCCTTTAAAAAACAAAAATATGATGATTTTTCAATTCTGATCACAAAATATTAAATGACTACGTACAATATCAAAGGTTCTGAAATGCACCTTAAATCTGAATTACTAAACGCTAATTCTACAGTACTCTACTCTTACTTGGGGGAGGTGGGGAAGGAGGTTCCTCAGGAGAGCCATGCCAGGTGGTGCGAGGGGGCCGGCTGCTCCTGAGGGTGCTCAGGGGACCTATAGGGAGCCAGGGATTAGCCAGAATTGGACGAAAGCAAAGCCTGAACCCCATTCCTATGTCTCCAGTCCTATTTTATCTTTATTTTTAAGAGGCCCCTCCTGGTTATTATTGTGGTGTTAAGTGGGGCTCTGGGGCCCATGCAGTGCCAGGGACAGAATTCAGGGTCTCGCATATGGCAGACATATGCTCTGCTAATTCAACCAAATGTCTGGCTCAGCTGTAAAAATACTTCAGCCAAGATGGTTCAACAGTAAACTTTAGTAACCTCTTTAAAAAAAAAAAAAGTGACGTGGGGGCACACCAGATTGTCTCTTGGCGGTACCAGTTGGAACCATAGAGACTAGGGACGTCTCAAAATCTGAATCACCCAGAGATAGCTCTGCTCAACACAGTAATTAATTTCTCAGGTATATGATTTTACTACAATTTATAACCATGTTTTTGCTTCTCCTTCTTAATATGACTGACCAAGTATCTATCTGGTGACAACACTTAAGGAAGCTGCCAGACAACAGCATGGAGAAAATCTGACCAGTTGCCATTATATTCACCATAATAAAATGTACCATTTAATTTTATGTAAGTAGCCATATCAGCCACATCAAATTTTATTTTTCTAAATGTATGTCACACTAATATCAAAATTACATGATTTAAAAAAAAACTGCCAAGATTTACTTTTCATTCTGCTTATTTCCGCAGGCAAGGTCTTCAGCTGATTGCTGGAAAGATTGAGTCGCACTAGACTGCACAGAGAAGAGAAACTAGCAGGAACAGCTATAAGACGATTGTCCGAGAGATCCTTGGAAAAGAAAAACAGAGCATTAACAAATGAACTCAGTTAAAAAAAAAAAAAAAGATCCCAGGGAGATGTCAGAGTTTTGCAGGAATTTACAAAGACTATTTCAGAAGTCCCATTTTTGGACAATCTCACAAGTCACCCAATACCTCAAAAGTGCATATAAGGTAGCAGAGAGAAATAAGAATAAATTCTAATCTTAGAGATAATTTACATAAAGATTTCTGTTACTCCCAAATTGTGCAATATCACATAGCATGCTTTTAATAAATAAATGCATTTGCTCATCAAATATTTATGGACTACCTATGGAAAACCAGGCAAACAATATGGGTAAACTGAGACATGACATGAAGAACATCTGTGCAGAACTTCTAAAAAGAAAGAAAAGCCTGAAAATGAGCATTTTAATTTTTGAGGAAAAAATATCCCATTTTGGTTCTTCCATTCACTTAGCCAATCAGTACTGATCGAGTCCTGCTGGCTAATCTACTCTACCTTTCACTCACTCAAGTTCATCTAATAAATATCCGTATTTTGGTGTTTCTTTAAAGTTTTGTTACTTCTTGAGTTTGGAGGATTCGTTCGGGATGCGAGATGCATGCTGAAAGTAGACTATAGACCGAACACGATGCCCACTCAATACCTCTATTGCAAACTACAAGACTCTGAAGGAAGAGTGAGCAAAAGGGAATGCCCTGCCACAGAGGCAGGGTGTAGTGGGGGAGATGGAGTGTAGGAGTGGGAGGGCTACTAGGATCATTGGTGGTGGAGAATGGGCACTGGTGGAGGGATGGGTACTCAATCATTGTATAACTGAAACCCAAGCACCAAAGTTTGTAAGTCTACAACTGTACCTCATGGTGTTTCACTAATAAAAATAAATAAATAAATAAATAAAGTCTTTGTTACTTCTTGAAACATTTATAAGAAAATCTTTTTCTGAAGCTTCCATTAAAAAATAATCTGAGCACCGCCACAGCCGCTGCCACGCAGCCTCCCCCAGGGACCCTGCTTCACCAATCCCAGGCGAAAGCTCCCAGGAGATGCAAGCCAGGAGATGCAAGCCAAGCAGCTAAAACACACGCTCGGATGTGATGTTCCCCATGGCTGAAAACTCTGGGGTGCACTGGAGGTGGGTGGGCAGCCTTCCGCCACCCCCTGGAGTTCCGGAAGCCCCAACAGCCTCATCAGCATTGGCCCAGCCCATAGATCCTGAAGCCTCTGGACTGTGTGGCCACATTGCAGCTGTTGGATACCTGCTGACTTCTCAATACTGGAATTCCAGTAGAAGCACACCAAATTAGGTGGGAGAATGATATAGAAGCCAAATAAACTCAACAAACGAAAACAGTAACACAGAAGGCTCAACTCGCAACAGCTTTGTAAATAAATTCTCTCTCCTTTTTTTTTTTTGCCTTTTGGGTCACACCCAGTGATGCACAGGGGTTACTCCTGGCTCTGCACTCAGGAATTACCCCTGGCGGTGCTCAGGGGACCATATGGGCTGCTGGGAATCGAACCTGGGTTGGCCACGTGCAAGGCAAATGCCCTACCCGCTGTGCTATTGCTCCAACCCCAACTCTGTATATTATCTTTCCAAAATTTTTGTTACTCCAATATTATTCCTATGTTTCTTTTCTTTTTTTCTTCTTCGAGTCACACCCGGCTATGCTCAGGGGTTATTCCTGGCTCTGCACTCAGGAATTACTCCTGGCAGTGCTTGGGGGACCCTATGGGATACTGGGCCCATAGGGTCTGGCCCTCCTTTAAAGTTTCTGACAAAGATTAAAAAAAAAAATCTTAAGACACTTAAGAACTCATCTTAAGAACTCATTCTCATAAATACCCCTCTACATTCCAAGCAGGAAAATTAATAGTTCACCACTGTAGTTAATAGTACATTAGATGAAAGACCATATATATGCTAAGAAATTAATCAGTATTCATACTATCATGTCTTCAATGTTTATTTCGTATCACTGTATTAAGCAGTTTTCCTATTATTGTAAGAAACAGGATGAGTTTAAATGACAAGTGTATCTACACTGAAAGTTTTAATATGCTGCTACTCAAATTCATGATTCGGTAATCCTGACTCTTGACTCCCACAAGTCTCATCAGAAACATTCTTTCATTCTGCAGTCCATCTAGGAATCCAAGTGGAGGAAACAGCTGGAACCTGACTGCTGTGGTTTGTTTTGTTTTTCTTCTGCTTCCTCGCCTGATGAGACTTTTACAGCCAGAGGTTACGCTGACAGTAAGCTTCAGGAGTGACGATTTGAGGGCTTCCTCCTCTGCCGTCCATTTTCTCCACCTAGGCCTTTTCAAACCTTATTTCCAAACTGACCAGACTGAAAGACAGTGATGCTGAAGGGATGGATAAAAAGATTTACTTTGAATTCAAACGCCCCAGCAGAAGAAGGAACGGCGAAGAGGACATATTTACAGAGAGAAAAAAGAAAGTGTCACTCCTCCTTTAGTGAAAATAACCCAGGGGCCGAGACAGCACACATCCAAGGTTAAGTGTTCTGCTGATGGGCCAAGTCCCTAACCTGAAGAAAATAACTTTAATGCTAAAATGACATAAACTGGTTCTCCAAGCACTCAACAGGAAAAAGAACGAGAATGCCTATGAAACTGAAATTGTCTCTTAGACTATCCGATAGTATTCCAGATTAGACATCTCTAAAAGATCTTATACTTGTGTTGGCAATGTGAGGACAAAAAATAATAACAACAACAGAACCTATTTGTGGTCAGATCCATACAGATTTCCAGAAGAGCTGCATGGCTTTGGATAAGTCATTTAAAATAAATAAGTACATAAGCCTTAGCTTCTTACCTAAGCCTTAGTTTCTTTCCATATGACATCTACCTTGCTGATGTAAAGCACCAGAGCAAACTGCCCGTTTTGATTTTTCTTAAAGTGATTATTACAATATCACTTACATTGCTTTATGGTTTTACTTAAGCTCTCAAAACAGACGGCAGAAAAGAAGTTAACCAGGAAACGGGGCCATTCTGAAAAACTGGGGGTAAAAGCTAGGCCTTGAAGAGCCTCAGAGTACAGAGGGGAAAGTGGGAACAAAGAGAGAAAGTGAACTGTGTACTCAAGAAGCTTTCTCTAGTCTGCTAGGCGAAACAAAGTCAACCTCATGGCCTCTTTCCCAATTTATTCCTAAAATAAAACCAAATGTGCTGTCATGAGAAAACATATGACCAACAAATTTATAATTACGAATTTACCAATCTAATGAAAATGCAGTCTGTTAATCCAGTCGAGCAACAAACTATTCATAATAGTTTCAACCTGATGAAATATCTCACTGGTACCAAATTATAAAAAAAACAAACTGGGAAGCCACAACTTACTAGATCTTCTAAACTGTGCAGCTGGTCAAACCCCTCTGGTAGGCAAGTTAGTTCATTATGCTGGAGATACAGGCCCTTCAGGTTTCTCAGAATCGTAATTTCTTCGGGAAGTACTTTCAATTTATTATGGCTATTGATGGATCAAAGGGATGATTAATAATTTCATGACAATACAAGAAATATTTATAAAACCATCTTTTTTTTGCTAGTCAACTCTATGGGTTAATTTTCTGCCAGAAAACTGATGTTTCATTCACTGTGTTGGTACAGATCGCTAGGGATAAATTTTTTTTTTTTTTTGGCGAGGGGCAGGGGAGAGGAGTCACACCTGGTGGTGCTCAGGGATCACTCCTGGCAGGGCTCAGGGACCATATGGGGGTGCTGATGGAACCCTGTGGGTTCTGTGCAAGGCAAACAACCTGTCTGCTGTATTATCACTCGGGACCCAGGTACTCACTTTATTTATTGATTGATTGATTGATTGATTTTTAATGTAGGAGTACTGCTAGTTATTCAGCCACTGATTAGCTGATTGATTTGGGCATGAACTCCACCCAGGTACTCACTTTAAAAACCAGTTTCACAAACTAAGTTTTGAACACTCATGCTTTTTATTTCTTCTCCTAAATAATATCGTCACTAAATAGGGCATATATAGACCCAAGGCAATGGTCTTTCTTTCAAGTCTGGGTTTGCACAGACGAGCTAGAGCCTTGGCAGCTGGCTCGCCTTGTAACACATTCCACGCTACCTCAGGAATCCTCTGAAAATTCACCAGGAAATTTTTTTTCTTTTGGTGAGGTTTTGGGTCACATCTAGCGGTACTCAGGACTTCCTTCTGTCTCTATGCTCAGGAATCACTCCTGGCAGTGCTCGGAGCACCATATGGGAAGCCGGGGATGGAACCCAGGTCAGCTCCGTGCTAAGCAAGTGCCTTACCCGATATCCTATTGCTCCGGCCCCTCCCATAAAATTTTTATCAGTAAAACTAGTATATTAAAATTTCTTCCTACTGCTCAACACAGACGCTCTTTAGAAAATCAAAGTAACTTAAAATTTATGTTGCTGAGGGGCCACAGTGAAAGTACAGTGACTAGGATGCTTGCCTTCCACACAGGTGGCCAGGGTTTGATCCCAGGAACTCCTTACAAGTCACTGAGCCCCACCAGGAGTGATACCTGAGCACAGGAGGTGTGGGCTCAAAACCAAAAAAAAAAAAAAAAAAAAAAAACCCTAAAGAATTTAAGCTGAAAAGCTGGAGAGATAGTACAGCAATAAGACACTTGCCCTGTATGCAGCAGACCCAAGTTCGATCCCCAGCTCCACCATGACAGTCCCCTGAGCACGGGAGAGTGTGGCCCAAAACCAAAAAAATAAAACACCCCCTCCCCAAAACAAACAAAACATAAGTTGTCAAGAAATAATAATAAACCATTAAAGCTTGTTTCATTAAATTTTTTTTTTTAAAAACTCAACTAGCGCTAAATTTGTAAAACCTGAAAACATAGAGGGAACTTCAAAACAAAATGTCATAAAATCCTAGAACTTAAAATTATTCTGTCTTTAATCACTTTCTTAAAATGTATGCTCTCTCTAGGTAACACGAGTTTAGAAAACTGTGTCTGCGCAGTTCCACGCCTCTTCAAATGTATTTTACCACACCAGTTTCCACCCCTGACGTGCCAAAGTCTCTCCACGGGTCTCCTCTACTCTTTAACCTAAAATATTTCTAAATACTTTTTTTTAAAAAATGGCTACTTCGGGGTGGGAGGTGGGGTTCTATTGGGGTTCGCGGTTAAAAATAAGTATTGGTAAAGGGAAATGTGTTTGATATTTACATGACTGAGACCTAAACCTGAAAGCTCTGTAACTTTTCCCACAGTGATTCAATAAAGAAATAAATTATAAAAATAAATAAATAAATAAATCAGTAAGTCAAAAAAAATGGTTACTTCAAGAGATTCAAAGCAAAGTATCACAAAAATTAAAATATCTAGTTAGAATAAAGAATAGCAGATTTAGTAATTGCAATACTGAAATAAAACATTTAAATTTTACCTGACATTAAGTTTCTGAAGATTTTCTAACTCTCTTATAGCAGAAGGAAGGGTTGTCAGCTGATTATCATGTATCTAAAAGTTATTCAAAGACACAGTTAATGTAAGTTTCTGTAGATTTTTCTAACTCTCTTATAGCAGAAGGAAGGGCTGTCATGGATTATCATGTATCTAAAAGTTATTCGGAGACACAGTTAATATTTAATACTATCTAAATTAATAATATGAGCTCTGACATTATACAAAATTGTTCAACAATTACCCCATTCTTTTAATTCAATAGCTTTGACATGAACTACTGGTAATTTGTAATTACTGGTAATTGGAAATTTACGCATAATAGAGAAGCAATTTTAAAATGACCAAACTGCTGTTCAGAAATTATGAAACGCTAAGACATCAATTTTAAGTACTGCAACTAAAAAGAAAGCTTACCTCGTTGAATGGAATTTCAATCTCAAAAAAGAAATGAAGGTGTTAGAAATCAGAAGGGGAATTTCTCTCATGTGCTCACAGAATCTTACTAGTTTCAAGGTACACAAAGAACACCTAAGCCAATGCAGTACACTTATGCAGAAAATGAAAGCTCGACGATGGGATTCGACCCAGCCCTTTCAGATAGGAATTTGAGGATGTCTTGGTACCCCCAAGTAAGGGCATGAGAAGCCTGCAGGATGTTAAAGAGGTCACTCGGGCTTTCCATGACCATCACATGACAATGAAAGACTAAAAGCAGATTCACTGAAGGGGAAAAAAAACACAAAAATTTACGTTCAATAATTTAAATGAGCGGTGTGGGAAGCCAAAAGCCCTCTCACAGACCCTGGCCGTGGTTCCCATGTTAGGAACTGCTTGGGAAAGACATTGGTGACAGTCTCCCAGGGCTTCCTGACCTCAGCGGATGCCTAATCTATAGCCATATAACATCAGGTTGACAGTTATCTTATCTGGCCTTATCTATAGTGACCTCCAGGATGCATCTACTGCCATAAGGCCCTTTGATAGACAAATGTAAAGTTCAGGATGCACCTACTGCCATAAGACCTTTTGATGTACAAATGTTTACCTTGAATGTTAGGTAAAGCTCTTGTTGCTGACCTGACCATGTATGGTTATATTGCTTCTGCTCCTGACTGGGCTGCCCTGACCCTATATAAACAGCCTGTAGCCCCCAATAAAGTTCTGTCCCTTTTTCTCTCTGTTTCTAAACTGTACTCTGCCTCTTGTGTCTTGTGTTCATTTGGTTGGTCCCTCCTTGCACCATCGGATCAATCCTCGGGCCACCTCCGCGGGCCGGAGAGTGGTTAGCGGGGCCTCCCGCAGAGCGGCCGGGGCAATAGTACAGGAGTAAGGGGCTTGCCTTGCATGTGGACAACCTGGCTTTGATCCCCAGCACCCCACAGGGTCCCCAAGTCAGCTAGGAGTGATTTCTGAAGGCAGAGTCAGGAGTAACCCCTGTGGAGCACCACCTGGTGTGGCCCCTAACACACACACATACACACAGCACACAAAATTAAATGTGTTGGAGGACAAGTTAAAGAAAAAAAAAAACTCCACTCCTCCACCTCAATCTTATATACTTGTGTGAAGGTCTAAAGTTAACCTTAATGATTAAGCAGCAACTTTGGGAGGCAGCAAGCATCATCTGTTAAAATGCAGATTCTGTTTGTAGCCAGTGGCTTACTGAACTCTAAGGACAATTGAAAGTAAACCAGGCAGCAGCATTCCTGCTTGCTTGGACATGAGGCCCAGAGAGAAACTTTACTCTGGCTCACAGGCAGGGGAGTCAGAACTGGACACAGTGTACCGACTCCTGACTCCCTAAAGCAATCAGGCGGCTCCTGGCGTTCTACCAGTGCGGTCTGAGTTTTTGGGCCCCCCCAAAGGCACAACCTGCCCATGTCCTTGAGGAACGGCCGGTGCATGGAGCGTCAGCTTACATCGAGGACGGTCAGCGCGGGCAGCAGCCGCACATCGTCTGTGAGTGCCTGGAGCTTGTTGTTGGAGAGGATGAGTTTGGTCAGGTCCGTCTGCTCCCACCACCGCTCGGCAGCGCTGAAGGACAGGTTCTGCTTTGCCTCCTCGGGGACATCCAAGTTGATTCTCCAGACACATGGGGGAACTAGTTCCAAAACACCACAAAGGAAAAACCAAACATCAGAAGAACATGCCGTACCAGGGGCATAAGGTTATTAACAGGTTTTCACCTACAGAAAAATGAACCTTCTGGGCCAGCGCGGTAGTCCAGCAGGGAGGGCGTTTGCCTTGCACACGGTCAACCGGGTTTGATCCCCAGCATCGCAGTTCCCTGAGCACTGCCAGAAGTGATTCCTCAGTGCAGAGCCAGGAGTAACCCTGGCTGGCGGCCTCAAAAGTGTAAGGTCAAGAGTTCAACCTCCAGGGCTGCCCATGTGGGCCCAGGCAGAGGCCTGGCAGCCGTTACCTGGGACCCCCCTGCCGCAAGTGATTTCTGGGCGCCTCACAGGAGAGCATGGGGGTAAGCACAGCTGAAGTGAGTGAACCCTCTGAACACTGTGTGGAAGCACTCAAACTAGGTGTGTGCCCCGGCGAGCACTAAGACATCAATCCCTGTCAGCACAACATCAAAGGACAGCGAGGAACTGGGACTAGATCACGGAGATGATTTTTTTCTAAGACAGAACCCCTGATGCGTATTTTACAGAGAAGCTCTCACTTTCTGCCTCCTCCCCCTTGGTTTTGGGGTCACAGACTACTCTTGGCTCTGCATTTGGGGATCACTCCTTTTGAGGCTCAGAGGACCATCTCTATTGGACCTGACTCACGATGTCATTTGTTCTTTGGGGAGCCACCCCTAACTTCACTCACGACTGTGACATGCTTGACAGAGCAGGCGTGGCAGCTGGAGCACACAGAGAACGGGCTCTACCATTACGCGGAGAGTCACAGAGCGCTACTGAAAACTCAGCACGGACAACGGGACGGCACGACCCTGGCACGAGGAGTCCTAACTGAATCTGAAAAAGCACCAGAAGAGCAGCAGATCTTTACACATGCGGGGCAATTTTCTACACTAATTCACTGATGCCTCACAACGCTGTGAGGTCCTAGCACCATTCTTATGTCACAGACAAGGAACGCACACACAGACACTCACAGAGAATGTATCGCACACCCTGGGGAGTATGCCGAGTAACTGGCAGGAACAGGAATCAAACCCTGGCAGGGGAACAGTACCTTGCCTCTCAGTGAGGATTTGGGAAACCTATCGAACTGCGAGCCGCTCTCTACTGCACGAGAAATACAATTTCATTTCCTCTTTGGGGGGAGGGGGGGTCTGGGGGAGGGAAGGAATGACACACAGCTGTGCTCAGGGTTTACTCCCGGCTCTGTGCTCAGGGATAAAACCTGGGTCAGCTGTGTGACAGGCAAGTGTCTCACCCACTGTGTTATCTCTCTGGCCCCTTTCCATTTCTCACCCCACGACCCAACACTGTAATGCTAGTACAGCAAGCAGTGTGATCTAATGGCATAGCAAATACAGCTACAGGCCCCGGAGCGAGAGTATTACTGTACCAGCTGAAGCTCCAGGAGCTATTAACTTGCTGAGGTATTGTGGCAAAGCTATTTTAAGTGGACTCTGTAGGTTCTTGGTGAAAGTAAACTTACAGAGCCGGAGTACATGCCTCGCAAGCTCAAGGTGCAAAGTTTAATATGTGGCTAACACATCCCCACCCACAGCACCGCACATGTGGCCCAGACGGTCCCCGCACCATGCAGAGGACCCAGTGAACTTAATCTGTAGGGCCAGGCCCTGAGTGCTGCTGAGGAGGCACACCCCACAAAAACAGCAGGACTAGATTTAGAACCTTGGCTATTCTTAATCAAGGCAATTACTGCTTATACCTTGCACTGACAATCATTTCAAAATAAAGTAAGTGGACAGGCATGGCCAAAGTCTCAAGTTCAGGACGCTGGAGTACAATTCAGGAAAAGCAAATTGATGTCATGAATTTACAGATGCAAAGGAACTCCTCATATCTTTAAGACTATATTACGCTCATTCATAAAATATGATGCATTGACATTCATATAAGAATAAATTATGAAAAGAGACAAGAGGGGCAGGATGGATTAGAAAACTGAATCCAACCTGCTACTGCTTACAAGAGAAACATTTTTTTAAATTTTTTTTTATTATGTAGGACTACTGCTATTTATTCAGCCATTGATTAAGCTGATTGAAAGAGAGAAACATTTTAACTTTTTTAAAAGTTATAAAAGCACAGCGGGTAGGGCGTTCGCCTTACAAGCGGCCAACATGGCCGACCCGAGTTCGATTCCTCCGCCCCTCTCGGAGAGCCCGGCAAGCTACCGAGAGTATTCGATATGCCAGACACAGTAACAACAAAGTCTCCAATGGAGACGTTACTGGGCCCGCTCGAGCAATTCGACGATCAACGGGAGGGCCTTTACCTTTACCTTTACCTTAGTGAAACACCATGAGGTACCGATGTAGACTTACAAACACTCGTGCTTGGGTTTCAGTTATACAATGATCGAGTACCCATTCGTCCACCAGTGCCCATTCTCCACCACCCATGGTCCCATTAACCCTCTCACTCCCCAGCTCATCCTACCTACCCCGTCCCGCCTCTGTGGCAGGGCATTCCCTTTTGCGAAAGAGAGAAACATTTTTAGCTGTTAGGGCAAACACCAACTCAAAGTCAAAGGTTAAGGGCTGGAGCAATAGCACACCTGGTACAGCGTTTGCCTTGCATCCGTCCAAACTGGGTTCAACCCAGGTTCGATCCCCAGCATCCCATATGATCCCCCCGAGCATCGTCGGGAGTCATTCCTGAGTGCAGAGCCAGGAGCAACCCCTGAGCACTGCTGGGTGTGACCCAAAAAGTAAAAAAAAAAAAAAAAAAAAAAAACAAAGTCAAAGGTTAGAAGATAATATTTCAAGCACACTACCCTCACTCACAGAAAGGCTTCTTCGGTGATACTGGGGTCATACAACAACTTCAGGATTATAAAGGTTATGAGACACTGTTCCTCGATTTGCTCAAGCAGGCCCAGTAATGTCTCCATATTGAGACTTCTTGTTACTGTGTTTGGCATATTGAATACTCTCGGTAGCTCGCCAGGCTCTCCGAGAGGGGCGGAGGAATCGAACCCGGCTCAGCTGGGCTGGCTGCGTGCAAGGCAAACGCCCTACTGCTGTGCTTTGAGAGGGCTATTTTTTAATGAGGACAGGATCTGTACATCAGGAAGAACTCCTAAGCAAATATACATCTAACAAGGGACAAGCAAAATTTGTAAAACAACTGTCAACAGACTTGAGAAAAGACATCAATAACAAGACAATAATAGTTTAAGATTTCAACACCACTCGATCACCACTTGATAGATCAAATAAGCTAAACCTCGGCACGGAAAAACGGGGCTTGAAGGAAGAAATGGAAGAGAAGGGCTTATGTGGCGCATATATATGGCTTTTAATCCCCCCAAAGCTGAATACACATTCTTCTACCAATATATGGTACTATGGTACATAGACACAAGGGAATATGACTCAGCCATCAGAAAAGATAATCTCATGCCATTTGCTATGTGGGTGACCTGGAGAGCATCAGGTGGAGTGAAAAAAGTCAAAAGGGTAAGAACAGACCAGAATGCTCTCTCTCACATGTTGGATACAAAGAAACCTCGTAGACCTGGCACAATTTTTTTTTAAAAAAAACAGCAATCACAGCTGGAGGTGGGGGAAACACACACAATAAAACTAACTAAGCAATCATTGGGGGGAAACGCGGAGATTTTCTCGAAATGCTTCTTCTTGGCTCTGTCCTCATTGCAATCCCATTCATTGACGCCAAGTGTCCCAAGGGGACGTGACCACGCCGCACACAATCCCCACCCAAAGCCCCGCGATTCCCCCGGGACCACGGGTCTCTGGACCCTCTCCGAGGCCCTCCCGGTGGGCAACGGGGTACACCCAGGCCCGCGCTGCCCTTCCCTGGGCCCCCGACCCCTCGGCTTCTCTGTCCCCCCCAGTGATGAAGGTGATCGCCCCGCGTTTCTTCGGACTTATTTCACTGTCAGGCGTGGCCGTGGGTCCCCGCTGAGCAGACCCCGAACCGAGCTTCCCGGTCCGGGGAAGATGCTGCACCTGCTCCGATCCAGGCCGGGGGGGAGGGGGAGGGCGCGGGCGCCTCGGGGACTCTCACCTTCGCCGAGGTTCCGGCCCGACAGATTCAACTGGCCGCTCTTCCTCGCCGCCTTCAACAGTCCCTGGGGCACGGGACCCCCGCCGTCTGCCCTCTCGGCTCGGAAGCCCGCCCGGGGATCCCGCCCGGCCACTCCCTTCGGCCGCGACATGTTCGAATCCCCGGGTTCCCAAGGTCCCGGCCCGCCCGTGACGCGCTAAAGACGCGCCGAGGCGCCGGCCCCGCCCCCGGCCCCGCCCCCTCCCGAGAGCGCGCGCGCGCGCCGGGCTCGTGGCGTGGCGCGGGGCCTTCTCTCGCGGCGGCGCGGGCCTGATGACGTCACCGCCCGCGCCGGGGGCTGGAGGACAGAGAAGCCCTCGCCGTTGCCGGTGCTGGCCTTGAGTCTTGGAATTACTTCGCCCGAGTAAGTGCGTTTCAGCCGGTGCTTGCTGGGGGGTTTTCGCAGGGGGGGGGGGGCGGCGTGGGTTTGTGTGCTGTGTCTGGCGGCTGCATTCTTGGTCCCCTCCCGTCTCCCCAGTCCCCTTCGCGGAGCGGGGCCCGGGAGATGCTCCCCTCCTCGCCTCCCTCCGCCGGGCCCGAACGTGGGCCTGGATGGAAAACTTGAGACCTGGGCGCGGTCTTGCAAGATCTCGGGACCCCCCCCCCCCCGCCCCCCAGCCTGGGTTGATCGCCGGGGGGTGGGGGGTGGTGGCGCTAGACCTGCCCGGGCCCAGGAAGTTCAGATTTCTGTTCTGGGAGCCTCTGTTCCGATTGCTTCCCCTAGTGCGTGTTCCCCCTGATGGAGGGGGTTTGGATCGGAGGGTCTGCTGCAGAGAAGGGAGGCTGCAGCGGGAACGAGGGCGGGGGAAGCGTCCTGGGAAATGTTTTTTTTTGTTGTTGTTGCCTGCACGGTTTGGAGAGACGAGTGGAGGTGGAGCCCCAGGCTCGAGGCTAGCGGAAACGGCCCGTCTGGGAGCTGGGGGAGGCGAGTTTGAATCCCAGCGGGCCTCCGTACCTTGTGCTGCTGCTAAGTCGCTCGGTCGCTTGGAAAGCTCCCTCCTTTTCCATGAACTTGGAGGCAATCGTTCCTAGCCCCGCTCGGCATTTTTATTTGTTTGATTTATCTATTAGCAAAAACCAAAGATCACATATCTGGGCGCTCGGTGAGGAAAGGGACTCGAGAACAGAAAATGAAGGTTGGAGGCTGGGGGGTGGGGGGTGGGGAGGCCTGGGCCGGCGGGGAATCCGGCGCTTTGCAATCGTGAGACCTGGCTGCAGTCCCCGGCACCGCAGGAGGAAGAGGGGAGATTGGCGGGGAAGACCTGGGAGCTTCCTCAGTCGGAAATGGATCCGCAACCCTGGTGATCCGTTCAGCCAGTGGTCACTAAGAGCTCGTTTCCAACATTACGCATGTAGGGATCGTCTTTTACAAAGCATCGTAAAACCGGCAAATAACCCATCAAGTTGGCTGGGGATCGATACAGTATTTTTATTTATTTATTTATTTATTTATTTGCTCACTCTTTTGCTGTGCCGGGAATCAAATCCAGGGCCTCACCCATGCAAGCAAAGGTCCGCATTGCGACCCTTGGATAAAGATACCAGGATGTGAGGGTCCCCTGACAAATTCTGCGTCACTCCCAGTTTTGCCCGAGACCCCGTTCTTGCCTGTCAAATATGCCTTTTAACTCTCTTCCCTCTTTGATTTCTTCTTTGTTCTGTAGAGTCCCTTACACTGAAAGTGAACAGCAGAAAGGTGCCAGACGTTACACTTCCGAGCAAGGAAAGAGTGGGTTTTAAAGCCAGGACCCTAGCAGTTTTGCAAGGTCGCTACCGGGTTGTGGGGGCGGAGGCGGGCCAGGGGTTGGGGGGGGGGGGGTCTTGACTGTGATGATTGCGCTGCCTTAGTGGGTCTGTTCTCAGAGGTGGGCTTTACTGAGCGTGAATAGTGCTCTTGCTAGTTCTTACTTCACACCATCATTTTTTCCAATGAAGAAATGATGGCACTAAACGGGGGTTCAGAAAAGTGTTCAAGGTCCCAGGTTCCTGGAAGGTATGGCCAGAAATTTGAACCTGTATCTTGCTCTCAAGTTTTCCCTGTCAATCATTGTGATTTGTTGAACAGTTTGTATTCCATCGTTTCAACTTGCTCTGTCCTGGAACCATATGACAAGGTGTTTCAATTAAGAGACTTGTTTCTTGGAGAAACACTTATTTCTCTATTAGGGGATTTTTCTGCCTACCTTTGAATGATGAATTCCTAAAAAAAAAAAAAAAAAAACCAAAAAACTGATAGGAGCCATTCCTCCCCCTAACAGTAGATTCTTCAGTTCAACATTATTTTAAGACGATGGGCACGGTACACATTTTCGACTTTGTTGTGCTTCTACACGAATTAAATTCTGTCAACCTTTCAGGACAATATTACTTGGAAATACTGGTTTACATTGTATTAAAAAGTATTTTGTTGCATGGCAAGGGGTCTGTGAAACCAAGGCGACTATTTAGTTGAGGTCTATTTTGTATGTAAAGACATTGCTGCGGGGGCTGGAGCAATAGCACAGCGGGTAGGGCATTTGCCTTGCACGCAGCCGACCCAGGTTCGATTCCCAGCGTCCCATATGGTCCCCCGAGCACCGCCAGAATTGTTTTCTGAGTGCATGAACCAGGAGTAACTCCTGTGCATCACCGGGTGTGACCCCCCCCCCAATAAAAAACCAAAAAAAAAAAAAAAGAAAAGAAAAGCAATTGCTGCAGTGTTCTACCTGTTAGCCAGAGCAGATTGGCCAAGTGAAACCATTTACGCTTGGGAGAGTGAAGCTTTTTATCTTTGTTTTTGGTGCCAAGGTTCAACCTGGAGGGCCTGAATGAAGCATGTGCCTTCCCACTGACCAAATTACATATTTGATCTCAAACTGACGGAAACCAAAAGCTTACAGCTTGAGTCCGTTGATTTTGGAAAGAGAAGTTTCAAGGCTCTTTTCATGAGACCTGGTGCTTTTCATCAGGTATTTAAGAAGAATCCATTGCAAAGTGAAGATCCAGCTTTTTTCCAACACGGCTGTTTAAAAATACTTGCTTTTTATAAGAAATGGATTTTAGCTTCGTTGAGGTAGCTCAAGGGACAGGGGTGCATGAACCCAGAATTTCTGGGTTCCATTTCCTGCTATGCACTGAGCTGGGAATGGCCCTTGAGCACCCAGGGTAGCCCCAAAACAAAGCCAAGAAAAGGTGGGAGGAAGGACAGGGTTGAAGAGAGTACAGCACTTGACTCGCAGGTAGCCAACCCCAAATCTGTCCCCAGCAGAGCCTGGTCCCCTTGCAACCAGGGGAGCAAGTCCAGAGCACAGACTTGGGTGGTCCACAAGCCAAAAAAGGGGGGAAGAAATGGATTTTATATACCATATTAAAATGATATTGAATGAATGTCTCCTTTTTCACTTGCTTGAGGTTACTGCTTTTATCTAATTTAATAAATTGATTTCATTAAACTACATGAAAAGCAGCTTTTTCTCTTAGCTGTTTTGCTAAATACAAAAAGAAACTGAACATTTTGTTTCAGAGTGGAAAACAAGACTCTTACCAAAGATAAAATGTCATTGTCACAGTCCTCCCCTTGTTCATTGATTTGCTCGAGCGGACCCAGTAACGTCTCCATTGTGACAATTGTTACTGTGTTTGGCATTCACGGTCACGGTCATGGTCCTCCCGTTGTTCATCGATTTGCTCAAGCGGGCCCAGTAACGTCTCCTTCGTGAGACTTGTTACTGTGTTTGGCATATTGAATATGTCACGGGGAGCTTGCCAGGCTCTCCGAGAGGGGCGGAGGAATCGAACTTGGGTTGGCCATGTTGGCTGCGTGCAAGGCAAACGCCCTACCGCTGTGCTATTGAAGATAAAATGATAGGCAAGTAATTTGCCTCTACCATTAAAAGTTCACATTCCCAAACAGCTGGATTACTTGATGAACTTTTCATGTCACATGTTTTTGATAGCTGAAAGGACAATTGGGTTATTGGGGCAAATGAAGAAATTGTAACAAAAACAGCATATTTTGTGTGGGCTTTTTATTTTATTTTTTTTTTTGGCTTTTTGGGTCACACCCAGCAATGCTCAGGGGTTACTCCTGTCTTTGCACTCAGGAGGTACTCCTGGCGGTGCTCAGGGGACCATATGGAATGCTGGGAATCGAACCCCAGGTCAGTTGTGTGCAAGGCAAACGCCCCACCCATTGTGCTATCACTCCATCCCTTGTGTGGGCTTTTTAAAAGTGATTATACAGACAAATACTGTTCTGTACGAATGGGACATCTGACAACTTTCCAGGCGAGTGTCTAGAGATGTTATCTAAGCAGACTTCTCTAGAAAGTTGCTTTTTGTCTAGAGTAACAGATTCAGCCTCTTGCTAATGAGTATATTTCTCTTTCAGAACATTGCCTTGTCAGTGAGAGCTGTAATTTTACGGCAAAAAATAGCTATTGAGAAAACATTTTTACTTCACTATTGACTGTTGTGACATCTGACACGTACTGTGGGTGAAATGTTTGGGGCCTGAATGTTTTACTTTGTCCTCTGCTTTCAGTTGTGTGCATCTTGCTCTACAGTAAGGTCCTCCAGGAGCGGGCAGATTGCTCAAGGGCTGGAGAGTCACCTTGTTCTTGGGAGCCTGGCTTTATGTAATCCTGGTGCTGGGAATAGCCTCCAGGCAACACCTGGGTTGGCCAAAACCCTGCGTACCCAACCCCCCACCCAAGAACTATTCAAGCATATCCAAATTGAGAGAAAAGTTCTATAGGACTTGGGTGCTTCATGTTTTAGATACTCAATTTTAAAGGTGTCTTCAGAGTTTCCATCGCGTCCATTTCACGGGTGCTTCCCATTTGAGCCTACAGCTAGCAACTTTTGAAAATAGTAGAAAACATTTTGCAGTCTTTTATTTTATTGAAAGGGACATATTTTGCAGTTTTATAGTTTCCAGTGGGTCTCTCAGTCGTGCCTTGTTGGAATGGTGAGTGATGATTTTTTTTCTGATGGAGATTGTCTGTTTTCTTTTGGGGGGAGAGGGGCCCACACCCAATGGTAGTTAGGGGTTGCTTCAGGCTCTTAACTCAGGGTTTCCTTCTGGTGGGCTCGGGAGACCATACGGGATGCCAGAGACCAAACCCAGGTTGACCGTATGCAAGGCAAGAGTCTTAACCC